CTAATGATTCAATATATATAGCACATGCCACTAACCCAATATCCTTAGTTTTCGTCCTAAAAAACTAAGGTCAGGATGAGTGACTTCCAGATCCATCTCTCTGAGTCAGGTTTTGTTGTTTTGCAACCAAAACAGCAACAAAAAAAAATTAAAAATCTCAGTGGCTTACAACCACAAACATGCTCACGAGTCTGTGGGTCATGTGTGGCTCTTCTGGGCTCAGCTGGGCTCAGGTTCAAGCCTGCTGCGCGTGGCTCTCACTCTGGCTAAGGAGCAGGGAAGCCAAGCCACACCACACAAGACATTTAAAGCCTCTCCTGGAATGCGGCACATGTTACTTCTGGTCACATTTTATTGGTCAAAGTCAGTGTCACAACCAAGGCAAAAATCAGTGCAGCAGAAAAATACACACTCACTATGAGAGCTTCTGCCAAGTCACATGGCAAAATGTGGAACTGAGTGCATAATCCTTTTGCAGAAAGTGGAATAATTGGGAATGCTAATCTAATGTACCACAATATCTCTCACATGCTTCTTTTTGGTCTGGCCATGTATGCGTGGCCAGGATTCTCTCAGCTTCACTCGCGTACAAGAATCAGGTTTACTTTCTTCTGCCATCAGCCTGACTGTGGACTTAGTTGCTCTGCGCCATGACGTGACTTCTTAATCTCTCAGTTTGTTCTATTCAAGATGTGCAGGGCACAGATTTCATCTAGTGGTCTTTGCAGTTCAGACAGATTGCTCCCTTCCTTGAAAAGCCACTGGACTTTTTATCTGCACCTTTCATTTGGAGTCTTACCTAACTTTTCAGTATATCTAGTGCTCCCTTTAAAATACAATTTCCCTAGGAATACAGTTTTTAGTTGCCAGTCATTTTCTCTCAGAATTTGAATGCTATTGCATCTATTCTGACTTCCGTCATTGTTGTTGAGAAGTCCATTAGCATTCCAGTTTCCCCTGTGTAGGTCATCTGCTTTTTCTCTCTGCTTTATTTAAAAGCTTTCTCTGTATATTTGCTATTACTCCATTTTAATGCCAAATGTCCAGATGTGGATTTATTTTTATTTGCACTGCCTACTAGACATTGTTCTTCCTATATCTATAAATTTTATATTTTATCATTTCTAGAAAATTCTCAGTCATCACCTCCCTAAATGTTCTCTTTTATTCTCACAACTTGTTCTTTCTGGGACTCTAGCTGCATGTTGAAACTTTTCATGCTTTCCTCTGAAGCTTTTAATTTCTTTGGTTTTGTTCATTCCCTGTTTATCTGTACTAAATTCTGGGTAATTTCTTTACCTATTTATTCCAGTCTACAACGTTTTTTCTCAACTATGTCTTAATGATTACTCTTACCCATACATTGAGTTCTTAAGTTCCACAAATATGTTGTTTCTAAAAATTCTGTTTCTTTTGAATGGTTTCTTATTTCTTACTTATTTTTGTGATTATGTGTGTTTCTTTCTGTAAACATTTTATATTCCATAACTGATAATTTCAATATATGAAGCTGTTGGGGTTCTGAATCTGTTGCTTTTACCTGTGCTAAGTGTCACCTAAGAGTGCTTGGTTGAGCGTTGATAGTTAGCCAGTATTTGGTTGATGTTAATCTGGGTAAACCCCGAGGAACTAAACTGAGGATGTTTTCTACAGAGTTGGTGCTTCTACTGCACGGTGCTGGAGGATGACTCTTTGACGGTGCATGGCTTAGTCCTCTGGGGAGGCTGAGGCTGAGCTCTGAGACCTTGCCACTCCCCCAGTTTAAAAGTTGATCTTTTAGTTTGCATCTGCATTTGTTTGAAAGCATATCTTGCCTTTTATGTTTGTTTAGTGTTCTGCATCGCCGTTTCAGCAGTTTTGCTTTTGTCTTGTGTTTTTCCTTTAGACTTGATTCTTCTCATTTTTAACACTGCAGAAATGCAATGAAAATTGTTTTCGTGCAAGAGCTTTTATTTCAAAGCAAGAAGGCTTTTCAGAGACTATCTAATCTACCCTCCTGCTGGGAGTGGTTGTCTCTGTGATATTTTTTTTACTCTGGGTTTATAGCTATGCTCCTATTCACTGAGCTTGCCAAGAGTTGAAATTCCCAGATAAATGGAGCATGACTTAAATTATTTTAAATGTGAAGTATTAGAGTGAGAATACGTAACTGAGACTTCCCTTCTCTAAACGGACCCTATATGAGGACTGGTTTGCTTAACTGACTGATATTCCATGCTGATGAGGTTGTGTGGTTCAGTTAGGTTTGTTCTGACTACAGAGTAACAAGTAGGTCTGTTACCACTGCTGAAAGGTTACTCAAAATATCAGTCTTACTGAATGATGAGTTAATGATGTATCAAATGAAGAAAGGCTAATGTAATTATAATCCTAATCATAATCGTAATTATAGCTGAATATTTAAGGTTTTGGAACTTCCTCAGTGGCTCAGTGGTAAAGAATCTGCCTGCAGCACAGGAACCGCAGGAGACGTGTGTTCGACGCCGGGATTGGGAAGATTACCTGAAGGACGGCATGGCAACCCACTCCAGTATTCTTGTCCTGTTTGACTCTTTTGCGACCCCATGGACTGTAGTCAGCCAGGCTCCTCTGTTCATGGGATTTCCCAGTTAAGAATACTGGAGTGGTTTGCCATTTCCTTCTCCAGGGTATCTTCTCAACAGGGGTTAAACCCACATCTCCTGAATTGGCAAGTGAATTCTTTACCACTGAGCCACCTGGGAAGCCCAGGTAATTACCCTGTTAGTGAATTCCCTTGAATTAGCCAGAATTACACTGAATTGTGCTATTTATTAAATACTATATTTACATGAGCTTTTATACTATTATTGCCAAAAATGTGAGTGCTACCCACAGGAGACTTTCATGAAGGAATAAGGTGATTCAGGCAAAGATCAATAAAATACACTTGTGCAAGTTTGACAGTAACATCCAGGGATGAATCAGTTTGTACAAGTCTTCCTCTCCGCATGACGCACTCTCTGGAGCTTCTGTACTAACTGTGTCTCCAAGGAAAGAATCAATCCGTTCACCCTTATTTAAACCCCTATGTTAAATCCTTGTGTACATTTCAACCGTTTGGGTTTCAGTTCAAGATACTAGATGCTCATACTAGGTAAATCAAAGTTAAACCTGATTAAATGAAATATCTTTCAATACTTGCACTTTTGGCCTTTAGAAACCAATAATGAGCCTAAGATGTTCTTAACTATTATTTATAATTATGGAGTTCTGAATTATTTATGTTAATATTATAAAGATTAACTTTGAAAAGCTTAACACAAAATGATGATGATTCAATGTTTTAACAATTTAAATCTATTTCTAAGGCTTAATATTCAAGAAGAAGTCAAAATTAAGTGCTTTGAAATCTTGACATTCCTTCTTTCTCCAAAAATTGTGTTTTCATGAAATATATATTTAAAACCTCAAATAAATTTGTGATGGACAATTCATGGTGTTCAACTGCACTTAAAAATTTATGCTTAACATTTCAATACCAGACACTAGCACCCCTCATTTTGACAGTAGAACACAAAATATAGGAAAAATTCATCACTCTGAATTTTTTTATGAGAACTAAGGCAAATTTTATGTAAAAATACCTCAAAATTAGTGAAGAAAAAGGGTGCTTGAAATGTAAGAAAAAACCTTGAACTATTTCTTTTCATCATTTCCTTTATTCTTGCTGCTCTCTCTTTTGGTCTGAAAAATAAGATGAGACTACATCTAAATGTATCTGGAAAGAGTCTGGAGAATTTAGCTCACTTCTTAAAAGAGAAAAGAACTAACTGCATTATGAGATAAATAAAATATTTTCTAGTTGAAATTCCCTTTGAATCTTTATTCTACCAAAGGCTGGAATGAAAGAAAGAACAATGAAAACCCCATTTCTTATAATTTGTGATGGTGTAGCCAGTCATCACAAGATAGTTTTTCAGTGTTGTTATGACATAATTCATAGCAACATATAAAAGTATCATTCTCTTAGAAAATCCTCTGTCCAAATCACAACTACGAAATGTTTAGTATGTCTACATAGACATTTCTCAGAATTTCTTAGACGACGAAATTCTACAATGTCCTTTTGTAGACTCATTAGACTAGGATCAACTGAATTCTATGACCAAAGTCCCTTTCTCTAACTTACACTGACTATGCTGCTTTAAAAGCTGCTTTCAGGATGTAAGAACTAAATTATAATTAATATTTTCTAATAGATGTAAAACACGGGATTGAAAGCAAGAATAAGAGTATCTATTTTAAAAAAGGAACATAATTATAGAGGAAGTAAATGAAGTTTAAAATATTGTGTGAATGTCTTACAGTGAGTAACTATTAAACATAGGGCCATTTATCTTAATTATTACTATCTTTCTGTATGCCATTTGAAAACATTTAAGTGCATTTGAATGGAAGCAGGTATTCTTCATATATTTGCCAGTGAGTAGCTTTTTGTTAGTTGTTTATTGAATGAAAAATATGCTTGCAGAGAGTTTCATCACCTATTCAGTGTAAATCTATTTCCCTCCCTATTGGAGAACTTCTATATACGATTGGATTTAAATTAAGAGCAAATCTGTGTTTGCTTTGGCAGCACATATACTAAATTAGGAGCAAATTGTGCTACATGCTTTAATGGGAAACTTTTTTAGAGTGATTTTTTAAAAATGTTTTTTATAATACCAGAGTTTTATGTATGTTTCTCCGTACATACTATAATGAATTAATGATCAAGAATACAACTGTAGATTTGAAATAAAATGAAACCAAAAAAAAAAAAAAAGAATGAAAGATAGGCTGCATAGTGACAAAGACCATCTCCTCTCGTGCCAGTAAAGTTCTAGCTGTGAGCATGCTCAGACACAGGGGAGGCACCGAAGTTAGTATATCAGAACTCCTTCTGAGGTATAAGGAGCATACGTCTAATAACTCGGTTGCTGTGAACCCATTGTTACGTTTCTGGTATTAAGTGTCTCTTCAGCCGCAGATTGATTGCAATGTTCCTTCTACTTCATTTCATCGTTCTGATGGATGTCAAAGGTAAGGCTGCTGCTTTCTCGCTTAAATGAGTGCAATTCCAAAAGAACTGATTATTTCTACTTAGTTCTATCATATTTATATACATTCATTGCAATGTTTGATGAGCTGACCTCCAGTTTGCGTTGTCATTGTCACTAGTTGCTTGTAGTCTCATCCTAGCAGTTTCTAGATGCAACAGATTTTTCGTGGAAACTTGCCTTTTAAATGTGGTTAAAATTGTAGACAAGATAGCTTTAAAAAAACAATGGGGAAGAAATCAATGATAATGGAGAAATTTTTTTAGTATTTGAAAAAATGTATGATACGTTAATAAATTAAAATTTTGCTTTATGAAATTTCAACCTGTTGAAATCTGTTCATAAATTTTATATAGTTTTTAGTTGCTATATTTCATTATTAACATAATTAAACTGGAAACTGCAAAACCAAAGACAAATCTAAAATCAATATTTCTCCCTAAGAGCAAATCTAGATAAAAGAAAATAATTAAAATGAACCAAAGCTACCTATTTTGATAATTCTCCTTTCTGTTTTAATTTTTAAACATTTTCATTTTAGCCAGACAGCTCACTTTCAAGTTGGTGGCATTTTTATTGTATAGCTGAGGAAAAAAAGACAAAATTTAATCTTTACCTGGTTTTAAAGAAAAATATAGACTTGTTTTGCTGTGAGGTTGTACACTTCTAAGTAAATAATCTATTCATCATACCCAAGGCATGTGGGTTTATTATTAGTCTTATTAAGGATATTTTTAGGTTCATAGGCTTTCTTAAAAACTTTTAATAAACCTCTGAGAATGAAGTTAAAATTCGAAATTATATTTCTTTTCTGAGAAATTTGTTTTAGGTTTTTAAAATTTTTTATTTTATTAAATGAATTAAACTGCATATTTTAAATATTGAAATAAAATGCAGTATTTATGAGTAGTTATTTAAGAATATCCAACAGATAAAAGATTTTTAATATTTAAATTTTAGCTTGAATTTGGAATACTAAAACTTTTTTTCAAATTATTTTAGAATATTTTAATACATCTAGCATGAGTTTTGTCATATTTTAATCTTTCTTACATGAAAACTTAAGTGTTATCTAAGGAGAAACATTATGTAAACTCATTTTGCATGAAGTACAGTTGTAGAAAGCAGTCTACTTCTCGATTTAAGGTCTTCTTCCTTCAGAAGTTAATGCTCTATGCACATTTGTAATTTCAACTTTTTATGATCTTTAAGAATAGACAGTTTAAAATAGGTTCTTGTATTCAACACATGTCATAAAAGTTATCTATGCCCTTAAAAATTCTTTAATGTACAGGTATGTAACTATGGTTAACCAATTTTACTAAAGTACTTGCTTATGGTAATGCATCTAAATTGATTTGCCTTGGAAAAGCAAAATCTTTATCTATTACCAAAGTAATGTCTCTAAGATTTACCACAATGTAATGCTGTTCTTTAAAAAAGAAGGAAAAATTCAAACAGATGATTTTTTTTTTATTTCCAAGTAAATGCCATATTTAAAATCCATAATACCAATCTAATAAATATTTATTAATTACAATTCTCTGGAAATTTATATTTTCTAATTTTATATTACATTTAAACCCTTTATATTTAAAATAATTTACTTTCAAAGTTAGATATGTTAATGCTTTGATATCTTACTCCTGCTTATAAAAATAATTTGGTATATATATCAGCAAAATCTTTTTCTTTTCCACAATAAAATTATAGTTGTTAGTTAAAGCAGTTAAAATTACACAGTTAAAGCAATAAAATTGTTTATAATAAACAAAGGAAAGTCATTTAGAATTATATGAGTAAAAATTACTTTTAAAATTTAAATGAATATTTGTGATAGATTCTAAGACCAGATCTAAATAAAAGGAAAAGTTAATAATTATATGATTTGTCTTTTCTCTTCTGGCCATAATCACCCTTGTGGCCTAAAGAATGAATGATATGGCTATCTTAAGCTACCAACATTAGTTAATCAATCAAGATAACAGATCTTATCATCACTTTCTTCATGTATTTTATCATCAGTTTTTTTACTTGTATTGTTAAACTTCAGCTTCAAACTCCTTCCCAATAAAAATTTTATGGGCTAATTATGAACAATATTACAAACTAAAAACATGGGCTGGGAAATTGAAAGCATGAAGCACTGAGAATGCTACTGATAACTACCAGTTGCTACTTATTCAAATAATTTGTAACCTTGAAAAACACAGTCATCAAAAACAGAGCTTGAGCTGCACTTTGACGTGAACAGTATTTGACTGCCCCCTAATGGACCAATTCAGATCTCAACCCTGTCCTTTGTAAGTCCTGTCAGTTCAGCCCAGACTGTCTTGAGAAAAGGTTTATGAACTAAATCTTAATTTCACACAATTACATCCATGCTGCCAATAGCTGTGAAAATCAATTATACTGTGGGCCAGTCATACTGAGAGGCTGAAGCAGCACTGCTAATGAAAACTCACCTGCTTCTGGGCTGAATGGAGCCCACTGTGAAGGAAGAGGAAAAATAGCAGAAACCCAGAAGTGAAGGTCATCGGAGATAAGTTATCTCTAAAGGCACTACCTAAAATACATCTCACAACAGATGTTTATTCATTTGTTCAGCTTACCGTGAATGAATATTACCCAGTGTAATAAAAGAGTTTTAAGGACTCTCACTTGAAGTGACAAAATTGGCTGTCACCTGAATTTTAAAGACAAAAATTGGGATGTTGCTTTCTGGTAAGCTGATATTGAAAAATGGCACATTTAATCCTAAGACATTGTGACTTGAATAAAATTCAGTTAACTAAGGATAGTTTTTGTGTACACAGTTATATGATGATAAATAAGAAATCATAAGAAATAGTAGTGGAAAGTAAGACATCAGAAAAAATAGTGGAAATTTACACAAGAAATCATAGTAGAAAAAAGAAGAATTCATAGTGGAATTAGCAGAAGCATTTTTAAATGCTTCATTCACATGCATCGATCCCTCATCCCTATAATTCTAGATGTTCGGTAGCATAGAAAAAAATTAAGTTTGCAATAAATGTTCTCATCAGTGGCATTCACTTTAATTTTTTTCCCCCTAAGGGAAGTTCTGTGTGAATAGAATATGTGTTTGATAAGGGGAAAATATTTTATCTCCCAATTCCCCAGGCATGAATTTTCTCTTTTTTGCAGGCCTGGACATTTTCATGAAGTTGGACAGATTTTCCTCCTGCTCATTTCTCCCTATGAGCAGTCTCAGAATTACATCAACATAGTTCATTGGAATGTTCAGTTCTGAGCCGTAGCTTATTTGAGAATCTCAGGGACTTTGCCTTGTGGGTGATCAAGTTCCGAATCTCATGCCCAGTTTGCAGAGATATCACCGCTGCTTTCCTTCCTGTCCAGTATTAAAATCACAGCCTTGGGTGGTCAGCAGAGGTAACTTATCCCCCGCGCATTGTCAGGGGCTGTACCCAGCAGGTGGCTTCATGCAGGTCCCAGTCTCTGCTGACCGGCTGTGTCCAGCCGCTTCCTCAGGCCAGCCTGGAAGCCGGATCTCACTGCTCTTACGGAGCTTAGCTCCTCTCACAGCAGCAGCCTTTTCTCTAGTCACCTTCTGTGGAGATTCTCTCTTTGATAAACTAAACATTTCAGTGAAAAAGCAGAGTTATCAGTTGGCCCTTGTGTCTTCGGAAAAGTGAGTGTGGTGGGGAGCGTAGTCGGGATTTGCTCACAATAGATCATCTTGACCCAAAGCTTAGAAAAGAAGGTGGTTTTTAATTCTTCTGGTGTTGCTTAATCAGAGACTGGACACGGAGGGCATACACAACAGAGATTTGGAATCATGAAGTGCTACAGCAATGGAAGGGATTAGGACAGGAGAGGCAGCGGAGTGGCGGGGATGCTGGATTTAGGGGTGAGCCGACCTGTGTTCAGGTTACAGCCCTCATCCTCTGCAGTCTTAGACCTTCCACGTGCCAGACAGCCTCTGAGCCTTGGTCAGCTATTGGTGCAATTATTAAACTCTCAGAATTATTGTATCATTATCATAAGTCCTGATATACAGGTAACAGTTCTCTCACTTCGTCTTTCTTCTTCAAGACACAGCTGGCTCCTCCTGTCCTTTATTGTCCCCACATGTGTTGGAGAAACAGCTTATCCATTTCTACACACACATACATACCCATGCACACTCCTGGATTCTTACTGAAATTGCTTTGAACCTATACATCAATTTGAGAGAAGAATTAGCTCCATTTATTTAGGTCCTCAATATCTATCAAAAACTTTATGTACTTTGCACAAATGTCTTGCAAATTTTTCTTAGATCTGATGCTAGTAAACACTGTTGATGCTATTGTAAAAGGCAGTTTTTTAAATACTTCATTTTTCAATTATTTGTAATTTATATAAAGATATTAAATTGACTTCACAGAAACCTTGATAAACTCTATAATGCTAATAATATATTAGTTTGAATTTGTTAATGTTTGCACTGATATCATTCATAAATAGTGACAATTTTATTTCTTCCAGCATGTATATCATTGATTTGCTCACCTTGCTTTGTTACCTTTGCTAAGTCCTCCAATGCTGACCACCCCCCGCCCCCCACAAAGTGCTTATTTGTTTGGCTATACCAGGTCTTAGCTGTGACTTGAGGGATTTTTAGTTGTAGTATGAGAACTCTTAGCATGTGGGATTGAGTTCCTGGACCAGGGATTGAACCCAGGCCCCCTACATTGGGAGCTCAGAGTGTTAGCCACTGGAACACCAGGAAAGTCCCCAGTGCAGTCTTGAAAAGATGCAGTAATAGTGGACTTCACTGCCCTGTTCTCAACCTCAAAGTGAACATCTCCAAAAATTTCCCATTAGGTATATTATATGCTATGGGTTTTTATAAATATCCTTAATAAATCAAGTAAGTTGCCTTCTGTTTTTAGCTTGCATAGTTATTTTAAAGTCAGGATCTGATCATTTCCTCTCTGGAGCCTCTGTTGTAAGCAA